GCCTTTGGCTTGAATGTATTCATTATATCAGGGCTTTTATAGTGATCACATGATGCGGAACTCTGACTGTGGTTCCTGATTGTCAGTGAACCCCAGATGTTCCTGGCAGTGGGAGCTGTGCACAAAGTGCAAAGTGTTGGCTGCTGGTTCCCAAAGGTGAGAATGTATATTAAGGTATCCTCAGCACAGGGCAACATGCCAGAAAACATTAAACAGACTGCAGATATGAACGGGTAAATAAAAAGTAGGAACAGAAATTAACATTGTAAAAGCCATTTGTGTAAAAACATTAATTCTCAGAATGTTTATTTTTTATATCATATACAACATTTACATTTGCTAACAAACATAAAATAGAATCATGAGGCTTGTTCACAAAGAATATGTCAGTCCAACATTTCATATTCCTGATATGCGCCTGCTGTATCAGGTACTTGTATAAAAAAGAATCCTGTTCTCTTGGTATTGTCTCCTTTGTGCGAAATCCCTGGCGTTCCTGCCAGTCCCTCTGCCTTCCTATTACAAACTGACCACACTAAGCAGGAGAGCACAGCGTGGTCAGTTTTCTGGCTATGCTGGAACTCCCCCTGCTCTTCTGCAATGATCAGACTTCTGCTGAAATGCCCCCCCTCCCCCCGTTCAGCCATTCACTGGGAAGATCAGTGTGCTGCGTGGTTTCTCTGCCCCAAGCTCTCCAAGATCCTTATACAACTGAGAACAGAGGGTATGTGATCACTTATTAAAAAGGGGAAAAAAGGAACTTGTAATTTTGTATATCCGTACACAAATGTTTTGCCTTTCATTTCAATTTTAAATTGAATGGCTTGTTTTATAAGGTGGGGGCTTCCATATACGACAGTTTTACCACTTGAAACATTCATAATATTGCAGCTTACTAATTCTTAGTATGAGTTGATTTTTTTAGGTTTTCTTTACTTTATTTTCACCTGGTGATCTGGCCAGTAAGTGCTGTTTTTCAAAAAAAGAATCTCTCCAGCAGAATGTATCAGTTACAGGGATGAGTCAAACTATTTAACTGTAGCAGGGGTGCTTACAATGATCAGTTTTTATTTGGGTAAAACTTTTATCCCAAAAGGAAAAAAAACTGTTGCTGTAACTGCTTATAAAGTATTAGCTGAAGTTTGGTTTTTGGTTTCAATTTGTTAGTGTATCCAAATCTGCAAGTACATCTAATACTTCCCTTCCCCCAGACTGACAATGCTGCAGTCCAAAGATGCCCCTGTTCTCCTTCAAACACAGTGGGGGCACTCCAATACAGGAGGGGTGTTACTGGCCAGATCACCAGGTGAATATAAAGGGGAAAAAGCCTGAGAAAACAGATGAGGACACTACATCTAATGATTGGCAAGCTGCAATATATTACATTTCTGGTTTTGGGCTTAATACTACTTTACACCCATGTGAAGGTGTGTGCCTGCACAGGATGCATAGGTGGTCCATGCACACGCGTGCAGACAGTCCCATTCCTGCTTATTGAGATACAGCTGCTACTCCCAATTTGACATTTGTGCGATACTCGGTGGTGGCAAGAAGTAATATATGTTGCAAAGAAAAATAAACAATGCAGTTGAGCAATCTCAAATAAGTTGAGCAATAGCAAAGTCTGTTCTTTAAAGCCCAAGTTCAGGTTTTCTGACACTTTAAATAGTTTGTGTGGACCAATCTGGCCTGAACAAACTATTTTATGTGGCTGCTGTGAGCGATGCATCATGCTGTATGAAGCAACATCAGTGTCTCAGGAGATTTTGTGAGCAAGCTGTAAAAAAAAAAAAAAAAGAAAAGAAAAAAATGTTTTTGTTTGTCAGTTTTGGTGTCTGCTGCCAGAATAAAATCAAGCCGGACTGAATGCTTCTTAGCCAGAGACAGCTTTGTATCTCTATCAGTGAATACAAGGCTTCATCTGATTAATCGAGTTGGGAGAGGAGGGCAGAGATGTTACGATCTCCACCTCAGCCAATCACAGGAAGCCTTGAATTTATTCCGCCAGTAGACATCAAATCGCCCAGGATGCTACTTGAAAACAGAGCTGCAAACTGTATGCAGCTAATACTACATACAGTATGATACAATGTTCACAGCAGCTGTATCACTCCGTACAGAAAATAGTTCCTTTGGGCCAACTTGGCCCAAACAAACTTATTAAAATGACAGGAGACTAGGACTTCGGCTTTACCAGCGAATTTTAGAAACCCCCCCCCCTCCAAAAAAAAACCCCAAAACAAAACAAAAAAATCCCAGTACATCTCTGCAATTACATTTAATACAATGCAAGTATAGATCTCTACCTGGATAACCTGATGGAAATCCTGTAAGCTCCTAACTTTCTATTGGTGGCTGACCTCACTGCCACTAATGTCAATGAGATCCCAAGCAGTGCTGTAAGCCCAGACTAGGTTCTTCCCCGACAGGCCACAAAACCATCTCATCCTCTCCATAACCTAAGGGGGAGGGTGTAACATCATAGTTGTGTCAGTCACACGGCTATGTGATCTAGTGCCAAATATACAGTACATCACGGGTATGGAGGCTATTTGCTCATGCAGGTAATTTGCCTAGCCATGTGGATTGCAACATTAAGGCAAGGTGCACATTACTGCGTTGTAGCAACATACAGCATGCTACTTGTGTAGATAGAATGCCATTCATTCTAAGTGACATTCCATTGCACCTCACCGACAGAGGAGCTCTGCAGTACACCGCATTGTAACACACTCAACACATTTTCTGGGCTGCTGATGTGCACTGCCAGCACATTCATTCTGTATTACCACAATGCACCCCGCGTTGGTTAGGTGTAAATCTAGCCTAAAGTTTTTACTAATATGGCCATGTAAATACACTGCTCGTCAAAGATCTGTATAGAGATAGAGTCATAACACTGTTGCTACATGAGAAACAGAGAGAGGCGCACTAAGCCTAGTGCAATTATCCAGAGAATATTTTTAATAAAAATCTAGAGATGCACAGAAGTTTCGGCCGAAAACACGGATAGAGGTGCCGAAAAACCCTGCCCCTCGCCGCTGCCGCCCGGAAGTTCTCAGCCTTACATGAGAAACCATCGATCCCCGCGCTGGGCATAGAGATGAGTGAAGGAAAGATGGCCGCCACTCATCTCTATGCCCTTGGAGGACTGGAGCGATGTCACTTCCCGTTCTGGCCAGTTTTTTTTTTTTTTTTAAAGCACTAGATCAATGCTTTTTTTTTTTTATCTAATACTTTACATTGTAGAAAGAGAGATGTGGGGTCTTATTGACCCCATATCTCTCCATAAAGAGGACCTGTCACTAATTATTTCTATCACAAGGGATGCATGCATTCCTCGTGATAGGAATAAAAGTGATTACATTTTTTTTTTTGTTAAGGGACAGTGCAAAAAAAAAAAAAAAAAAAAAAAAAAAAACCACCCCCAAAAAATACAAAACAACAAATATTAAATAAATAATAGTAAAAAAAAGTTTAAAATGCCCCCGTCCCCCTGTGCTCGCACGTAGTGGTGAACACATATGTAGGCCATGCCCACATATGTAAACGGTGTTCAAACCAAACACGTGTGGTATCGCCACGAACATCAGAGCAAGAGCAATAATTCTAGCACTAGTCCTTCTCTGTAACTTTACACTGCTAACCTGTAGACATTTTTAAAGCATCACCCATGGAGATTTTTTAAGTACTGAAGTTTCACGCCATTCCACGTGCGTGCGCAATTTTAAAGCGTGACATGTTGGGTATCTATTTAATTGCCGTAACATCCTCATTCATATTTTCCGAAACAATTGGGAGATATATATATCCCAATTTTTTTGTAAAATATGAAAGAGGAGATGTGTTTTTTATTTATATATATATCCCCAATTTTTTTATAAATCAGTGTATTTGTTTCCAAAAAATATATTCATTTTTAAAAACTGCGCAATTCGGTTTTCGGCCAAGTGCATTTTAAATTTTCTTTTTCGGTTTCGGCACCAGAATTTTCATTTCGTTGCACCACTATAAAAATCCAAGTAAAAACTACTCACGAGCATAAAAGATTACATGCTCATCATGCCACTCATTCGTGGCCAAATGGAACCATAGCCCAGGCACAGGGGAACCACTCCAGGGTCCTAAAGGCTCTGAGGAAGAAGGACTTACCTTCGAAACATGTTAGCCTTTGGGACCCCTGCATGGTTCCCCCAAGCCTGGCTATGGTTTCATTTGACCATGGATGAGTGGCATGATGACTGTGTAATCCTTTATGTTTTTGAGTAGTTTTTACTTGGATTTTATTAAAAAAATATTCTCTAGATCAGGGGTGGCTAACCTGTGGCTCTCCAGCTGTTGTGGAACTACATTTCCCATGAGGCATTGCAAAGATGGGAAGTTACTGACTTGCAGAGGCATGATGGAACTTGTAGTCCTGCAGCAGCTGGAGAGCCGCAGGTTGGCCACCCCTGCTCTAGATAATACACTAGGGCTGGTGTGCCCTCTCTCTCTCTGTTGTTTCTTTCTTTCTAGTTGCTACGGGACATCCCCTGTCCTAGAGGGCAACCAGGCTTGAATTGGTTCTCCATGGGATTTCTTGCGAATTGGGCTACTTGACTTGTGCGCAGGAGACATTTTTGTTTGTTGCTGACAGGTGCTGAATGCTGCCTGAGAATACAAAACTGAAAAAGTACAAGAACCTTCCTGTGCTTCTGACAGGAAACAGCAATTGCTCATCTCTTTTTATAACATACAGGATGTATGCTTGTGTTTGCCGGTCAAAGAGAATCTAATGCTGGACTAATTTATGGTTTTCCTCCAACAATCAATGCCAAGCAAAGTTAGAGTGGCTAAATTTGTACCAGGTTTCTTAAAACAAAGTATAGAAAAGGTAAAAAAACACGGGACAAAAAAAAAAAAAAAAAAGGATCCAGAGTAACGTAGCTTTTTGCTTCATGCACCCAAATAAATAAATTAGTGAAACTTCAGAGTATTAGCTTACCATGTAGTTATACAGTTTAGAAAAGGCCACAGTCTTTGAGATTGTTTTTTATGATGACATCAGTTACTGCATCAAATACAAACTGCACGTTCTTGGTATCTGTTGCACACGTAAAATGGGTATAAATTTCCTTTGTGTCCTTTCTTTTGTTAAGGTCTTCAAACTGACACTGAATATATGCAGCTGCTTCTTCGTAAGTGTTCGAACCTAAAGATAAAAAAAAAAAGAAAAAAGAAAAAGTTTAATCAATTTGGTACGAATGTGTTATGAAATATCAAACCTAATTAATTATTATTATAAATTTTTAGTTTCAGTAAGGGATATGGAGGCTTATGCTCTCAGCAGTCCAAGAAATTCTATGTTACTATAGATTAACATTTTAGGAGTATTAATAATGTTATAGAAACTTTTTTTTTCCCCTTCACAAAAAAAAAAAAAAAAAAAAAAAATTGCCTATTTAAGTTGAATTCCAGCTTTGGATTGATTGATAGAGGTGGAAATCACAGGGTCATCCATCCAAGTCCAACCTATGGCAATCAGAGGTAGCCTATATTCACTGATAAAAATACACGGCCTCTCCTGATTGGCAGGGAAGCATTCACACAATCAATCTTCAACAGAAGGCAGGAAGTTGTCCGTATTGCTACTGCAAGTACAGAAAAATAACTGATGTGTCAGTAATATAGCGTGCTCCTACCTTTCTTTCTGACATGTCAAAATAGTAGGAGTAATTCAAAAAGGATGTGGAAAGACAACCTTTAGAATGTTTTTGGTCTCTGCACCAAAATTGTTGGCGCTTGGGACCAAGTCATGTACCTAGTCATAGACACAGGTACATATCTGTCGCTGTCTGACACAGAGGTCAGAGTGCCCATACTGACCTCTTTCCTCCATGTGCTCCCTCCCCAACCCTGGCCACAGTGCTGGTCACACCAACACACATTTGGCTGAGGAGTTATGTTGTAAGGGTGTGCAGAACCTTTTGGGAAACAGAGACATTCTCCATCAGGTCCGCCTTGCTGTTGATTAAAGGCACACTGTACAGCAGCAGGTAGACCATTAGCTGCTATTCAGTCCAATAGTGGCATCTGAACCCGCTGCACGCAGTTTAAAAACATAATCGATTGATAATTGGCACTTTTTTTATGTAAATAGATATGAAATTAAAAAAACAAAAATAAACGAAGGCATTTTTTATTTCTAAAGAAGTAATATTAATTTACCTGCATATTCAGGATAGCAGATTGTCAGAGGACTCCTCTTAATTTTCTCCTCGAACAGATCCTTCTTATTAGGAAAAGAATAATGGAGGTGTCTGTAAACCACTTATTATTGCAGATGCTGTCAAATAATTTCATGCTTTCGTGCATTCGGTTCTGAATAATGGGTAAACAAACAAAAATTTATATTGTAGCAGTCAATATCAACCTTAGAAATGAACATCACTCCTTCCAGTATACAGGTACTCCTCGCTTAACGACCGAGTTCCGTTTCAACGACTTGGTCGTTAAAGTGAGGAACTGCATGTACTGTATACAGTAGTACATATATGCATAGTATTTGACAATACAGTATTCTGAATAAGTAAAATAACAAGAAAGATCAAACTGAAAACTTCCACTTGTTTTAATTTGCATAGGTTGTGTAATTTACACACAGTACTGCAATGTATTACAGTACAGTAGTACAATACAGTATATGCATAGTATTTGACAATACAGTACAGTATTCTGAATAAGTAAAATAACAAGAAAGATCAAACTGAAAACTTCCACTTGTCTTAATTTGCATAGGTTGTGTAATTTACACACAGTACTGGAATGTTGTATTACAGAACATAAAGTTAGCAAAGTACAGTAGGTACATTAATAGCACCAAAAACCACAGTACTGTACTGTAGAGTGTACAAGAAGGAAAAATTATATTTAAAATACAGTAAACAAAAAAAAACAAAACAAACAAAAAAAAAATAAATTCAGGCTATCATTTTAGTCACGAATCCTTCAAAATCTTCATCTGTGTCATCATCAGAGCTATTATCAGGAGCTGCTGAAGGCCCAGGTAAGGGACACGATGGAGTAGAAATTGAAGCATTGGTAGTGCTTGGTGTAACTTTCCAAAAGTATCCACTTAGAGTGGTCTGCTTTGTCATTTTCTTTTTTTCTTCATATATTTCACGATAGCACTGTAAAACTTGACTTATTTGTCTTTCCACCTTTGTGAATCGTTCAACATTCGGATCCATTCTCTCTAGTTGGAACATAGCTGCATTCACTTTTTGAGAACACACCAGCTAATCCCTTCACAGGTGTCTTTGGTAACTTCTTCCACTTTTATTTTCTTCTTCCTCCTCCGCCAGGTTCTGCTGTGCTTCAACTCTATTAATCTTCGGTAGTTAGCTCTCCCTCTGTATTGCACTAATTCCTCAATATCTTCCACCTCAAACTTATAAATTAAGCACTTTAGCAAGTTCCATAGTTTGTTTTTATTTATGGCATCAACATGTTCATCTTTCTCAAAAAATGACTGCAACATGTTCACAAAACATTTTAGGCATTTTTTCCATATGCCTTGCATACACTTTTCTGTCACTCCTTCCAAGCGGATTCAATGTTGTTTATGCAGTCTAAAATGTTGTAAGATCTCCAGAAATCACGGAGAGTTACTTCATCATTTTCTGTTGCTGCTACAGCTTTTATGCTTTAAATGTGGCTATGGCCCCCTGGTCCATTGGCTGAAGGATTGAAGTTGTGTTTTTAGGTAGATATATACTCTTTACATCTGGGTTTAGGTCATCAAGATACTGGGGATGGCCTGGAGCATTATCAAGCAGGAGGATAATTTTAAAAGGAACCTTTGGACAATAATGTTAAGTGAAGCAGTGGGTGAACCAATCCTCAAAAAAACTGTGATCATCAATGCCTTGTTATTTGCTCAATAAACAGGCAGTGTTTTAACTCTGCTCAATGCAGTTATTCAGAGCGATAGATAAGCAAAGGCTTCAATCAAAACCGGTAACATTTCCTCCCAACAACTTGTGTCCTTAAATGCCTTAAAGCCAGGCATTGTCTTAGCTTCTTTGTGTAATCTTTCACAAAAAAAGTCCAGTTTCATCCACATGAAGATCTGTTCTGGACAGTACACCTTGCTCTAGATTTTACAAATTGGTCAGTATATGCCTCACCAGTATTTGACAATACAGAAAACCGTTACAGTATTCTGAATAAGTAAAATCAAAAGAAAGATGCCAAATTATTGAAAGGTTCAATTCCACTTGTCTTAATTAACTTGCATAGGTTGTGTAATTTATTACTTTGTTGTGTAATTTACACACAGTACTGGAATGTTGTATTACAGAACATAAAGTTAGCAAAGTACAGTAGGTACATTAATAGCACCAAAAACCACAGTACTGTACTGTAGAGTGTACAAGAAGGAAAAATGATATTTAAAATACAGTAAACAAAAAAACAAAACAAACAAACAAAAAAAATAAATTCAGGCTATCATTTTAGTCAACGAATCCTTCAAAATCTTCATCTGTGTCATCATCAGAGCTATTATCAGGAGCTGCTGAAGGCCCAGGTAATGGACACGATGGAGTAGAAATTGAAGCATTGGTAGTGCTTGGTGTAACTTTCCAAAAGTATCCACTTAGAGTGGTCTGCTTTGTCATTTTCTTTTTTTCTTCATATATTTCACGATAGCACTGTAAAACTTGACTTATTTGTCTTTCCACCTTTGTGAATCGTTCAACATTCGGATCCATTCTCTCTAGTTGGAACATAGCTGCATTCACTTTTGAGAACACACCAGCTAATCCCTTCACAGTAAACTTCTTTGGTACTTCTTCCATGTTTTCATTTTCTTCTTCCTCCTCCGCCAGGTTCTGCTGTGCTTCCAACTCTATTAAATCTTTGGTAGTTAGCTCTCCCTCCCTGTATTGCACTAATTCCTCAATATCTTCCACCTCAACTTATAAATTAAGCACTTTAGCAAGTTCCATAGTTGTTTTATTTATGGCATCAACATGTTCATCTTTCTCAAAAACTGCAACATTGTTCACAAAACATTTTAGGCATTTTTTCCATATGCCTTGCATACACTTTTCTGTCACTCCCTTCCAAGCGGATTCAATGTTGTTTATGCAGTCTAAAATGTTGTAAGATCTCCAGAAATCACGGAGAGTTACTTCATCATTTTCTGTTGCTGCTACAGCTTTGGAAAAAGTTGTGCGTAAATAGTATGCTTTAAATGTGGCTATGGCCCCCTGGTCCATTGGCTGAAGGATTGAAGTTGTGTTTTTAGGTAGATATACTATCTTTACATCTGGGTTTAGGTCATCAAGATACTGGGGATGGCCTGGAGCATTATCAAGCAGGAGGATAATTTTAAAAGGAATGCCCTTTTCTTGACAATAATGCTTCACTGAGGGTATGAAGCAGTGGGTGAACCAATCCTCAAAAAAAGCTTGAGTCATCCATGCCTTGTTATTTGCTCGGTAGTAAACAGGCAGTGTGTTCTTTCTAACTCTGCTCAATGCACGTGGGTTTTCAGAGCGATAGATAAGCAAAGGCTTCAACTTAAACCCGGTAACATTTCCTCCCAACAACAATGTGACCCTGTCCTTAAATGCCTTAAAGCCAGGCATTGTCTTAGCTTCTTTGTGTATATAGGATCTTTCAGGCATTTTCTTCCAAAAAAGTCCAGTTTCATCCACATTGAAGATCTGTTCTGGACAGTAGCCACCTTGCTCTATGATTTTATCAAATTGGTCAACAAATTTTTCTGCTGCTTTTACATCTGCACTTGCTGCCTCACCACTGACACTCCGATTATGCAGGTTGAATCTTCGAGAAAACCGTTGAAACCATCCGTTACTTGCTGTAAAGGTTTCGGTTGAACCGCTGCGTGCTTGCAAAGTCTCAAAGATATTGAGTGCCTTGGCTTGAATTATTGAAAGGTTCAATGGCATTCTTTTTTGAATCTGGTCATCAAACCAGATAGCCAGTAACTTCTCCATATCATGAATTAGGCCTTTCCGCTGTCTAGTTATTATGGCTTTAAAGCCTGTTGATGCTTTCACTGCCTCTTTTACTCTATCTTTATCCTTAAGGATTGTTGAAATGGTTGAATGTGCCAGATGCAAGTCATGTGCTATCTCATGGACTTTTTTGCCACCTTCATAATCCTTTATGATCTTTATTTTCTTCTCAAGATCAATAGCCTTCCTTTGTTTCTTGGCATTTTCTGGTGCAACCTTGCTTTTCCTTTTTGGAGACATCTGGGGTAAAGTACAATACAGAATAAGGCACCCAGATCACACACAACTTGTATGCTTGAAGAAAAAGCTTTATAAATAGTTACACTGTACTGTACATACTGTAATGTACTATATCTGTACTGTATACAGTATTTTCACACTACTGTGCTGTATTGTGTGGGCCTGAGAGAGATCCTGGACTGTATACAGTACAGTACAGTATAGCTGTTTATAAAGTTTTTTTCTTTGCAAAAAAATACAGTAATTTACAGTACTGTACTGCTGAAATGTGAATACTGACCAGGAAACCAGCAGTACCGGACCTCAGAATAGTGTACAATTTTAGCCATGAATGAGGAATGACTTTGAGACGCAGGGCCGCTACCATTGCTACCACGTTTTAGCGCGTAACCACGTTTTAGCACGTACCGTCGGTGAGATGGTCGTAAGTGTGAGCGGTCGTAACGGTGAAGAGATGGTCGTAACTGCGAGCGGTCGCTAAACAGGTAGGTCGTTAAGTGAGGAGTGTCTGTATTTTAAAGAGCTGCATTTTATGACAATACCTTATACACCATTTTTTCAGATATATACTGGTTGTATAAAACATTTTAAAATACTAACATGCTTTAACATCGAAACAAAGCTGTTAAAAAGATTACCAATCACATTTGCTGGACAGTAAAAAAAAAAAAAAAAAATATAAGGCCCTTTCATTTCACTTATGCTTCAGACACCTCTAAGGATATACTTGCCTAATCTGCAGAGCACAGCAAGTTTTACTTTTGCAGCCTCCAGGTGCCACACAGAATTCCCTTCTAAATCTACCCAGCAGACCAGTGCTCTGCCTGTGCACCATGGCTTCTATTCATCTCAATGAAAAAGATGACAGATCTTCTATTCTTATTATCGGAAAGTGTGGTATTTATGTACAAGGAGGTTTTCACTCCCTCATGCATATAAAGTGACAACTGTTTATGCAGTTTTCATCATATGCTCTTTCGATGTGTCCAAAGTTTGCGGCATGTTTACTTTGATTGTGAATTAATTCTCATAAAACAGCATTAAAGGCCCTAGCCACCCAGCCCTGGTTCACCCTAGCATGATTTTACAGCGACCTGCAACATTCTGATGATAATGTCGCAGGTCAAGTGAAAACACATAGATTTGAATGGGTGTTGCCTTAATTGCTACATTTTGAGTTGCTGTGAAAAAATAAACTTCTTGCACTACTTTTGAGCAATTATTGTGCAGTATGCTTCCCATAGACTGCAATGAAAAATCCACAGCAAATCGCCCCATGTCTTTAACAGCGTGAATCAGCAGCGATTTCTGAGGCTTTTTATTTAAGTTAAGAAAATTATAAAAAAGCAAATATTCTAGTTTATGTGATTTCATTTAGAGGGAAAAAAAATAGAAGGCCAATGCTGCCAACAGCAAACAATCACAATATAAGTAAAAAGAAGAAAACATTTAGCTGGAGTTGGGCTTTCACTACTGGCCATTAGGACCTCCTGTCACAGTGACGCACCAATAGTGAAGAGAAAATAGGACCTGCCTCTAGACCGCACGAGTTCGTAGAAATTTCATACCAGAACACCTTTTGATTCAGGGTTCCCAGATCATTCAACAGAAACCTAGAAATGTGGTGCTATGGAAACTTAGGTAAACCCTTGAAAGCTTGCATACCCATATGGAACATTGACAGAGTTCTGACTGCCACGCTGACCATCATACTTCAGTACTTTGAATCACTGACCTACGACAATAAAACAAACTACCTAAGTTTCTAGGTATTAAAGTATAACTAAAGGCAAGAAACATATCTTAGCTGAGTGAAGACAGGTAAGAACTCTTGTCAGATTTTATTGGGGTCTGTGTCCCTGTTCGGAAAATTCACCCTATATGTCCTGTTTACCATTATCATTGAAAGTGAAAGAAAATCCTACATTTTGGGTTGTCCCAAGAAAAGTAATAGAAAGGATAACTTCCAATAGGAACACAGTTTCTGGTAACCTGCGGTCCTCAGGAGATTCTCCTAATTTGATGGGATTTCCACTCAATTCCTGTTTGGCTATCGAATAGGAAGTAAAGGTAAATCACCCCAATGGGACAAAGATAGCAAAATAATAAATAAACTTTGCATGGGTTATAACCTTCCCTTACTCTAATAAAAATGAAAGAAAAAGTTTTGCCTATAGTTCTACTTCAAAGCTTTTGGGTCAACAAAACAGCCAAACTGAAGGCGGCCAAGGCAGCTGGAGTGCCAGGTATGACTGTATAATACATAGTTGTATTGGTCCAGCTTGGATCAATGTAACTGTGTATACGTATCATACCTGGCCGATGTCCCTGGAAACTGGACAATTAATGACTTAGGACACCACTACCTCAGTATTCTCCACGTTTCTAGGTCCAACGCCAAGTGGCCAGCCAGATGCACTGTGAACACAGGAGGTCAGTTGCTCAGCACAGAAGCCATTCAGAGAATGCTTTGCATTTTGTGAATAAATGCAAATAGATCTCTAACTGGGCAAGGTGGAGTGTGTGATGTAATTGCCCTACCTTGTCCATTCAGAGAATACTTTTAATGCCTTCAGAAAATGCAAGCATTCTCTGAACAGCACCCAAGCCAAGCGACCAGCCTTCTGTGTTCAGTAAGCAGGAGTGCAGCCGATCAGCACAGGACCCAGAAGCAAGAAGAGAACACTGAATTAGTTGTATCTACTTCAGTGATCTCCAGCTTCCAGGGGCATCAGTAAGGTATGGCATATACATAGTTACAGTGCTCCAAAGCTAGAGTAGTGTTGTAATTTCCAGCTTCCAGGGGCATCAGTCAGGTTACGCATATACATAGTTACATTGCTCCAAAGCTGGAGTAGTGGTGAAATTTCCAGCTTCCAGGGGCATCAGTCAGGTTGGGAATATACATAACTACATTGGTTCAAAGCTGGAGTAGTGGTGTAATTTCCAGCTTCCAAGGGCATCAGTCAGGTTGGGCATATACAGTATTGCAAAAAAGTATTTAGTCAGCCACCAATTATGCACGTTCTCCCACTTAAAAAGATGAGAGGCCTATAATTGGCATCATAGGTAGACCTCAACTATGAGAGACAAAATGAGAAAAAAAATCCAGACAATCACATTGGCTGATTTGGAAATAATTTATTTGCAAATTGTGGTGGAAAATAAGTATTTGGTCACCTACAAACAAGCAAGATTTCTGGCTCTCACAGACCTGTACCTTCTTCTTTAAGAGGCTCCTCTGTCCTGCACTCATTACCTGTATCAATGGCACCTGTTTGAACTTGTTATATGTATAAAAGACACCTGTTCACAACCTCAAACAGTCACTTTCCAAACTCCACTATGGTGAAGACCAAAGAGCTGTCGAAGGACACCAGAAACAAAATTGTAGACCTGCACCAGGCTGGGAAGACTGAATCTGCAATAGGCAAGCATCTTGGTGTGAACAAATCAACTGTGGGAGCAATAATTAGAAAATGGAAGACATACAAGACTACTGATAATCTCCCTAGATCTGGGGCTCCACGCAAGATCTCACCCCGTGGGGTCAAAATGATCACAAGAACGGTGAGCAAAAATCCCAGGACCACATGGGGGGACCTAGTGAATGACCTGCAGAGAGCTGGGACCAACGTAACAAAGGCTACCATCAGTAACACACTACGCCGCCAGGGACTCCTGCAGTGCCAGACGTGTCCCCCTGCTTAAGCCAGTACATGTCCGGGCCCGTCTGAAGTTTGCTAGAGAGCATTTGGATGATTCAGAAGAGGATTGGGAAAATGTCATATGGTCAGATGAAACCAAAATAGAACTGTTTGGTAGAAACACAACTCGTCGTGTTTGGAATAGAGAGAATGCTGAGTTGCATCCAAAGAACACCATACCTACTGTGAAGCATGGGGGTGGCAACATCATGCTTTGGGGCTGTTTCTCCGCAAAGGGACCAGGGCGACTGATCCATGTACAGGACAGAATGAATGGGGCCATGTATCGTGAGATTTTGAGTGCAAACCTCCTTCCATCAGCAAGGGCATTGAAGATGAAACGTGGCTGGGTCTTCCAACATGACAATGATCCCAAACCATACCGCCCGGGCAATGAAGGAGTGGCTTTGTAAGAAGCATTTCAAGGTCCTGGAGTGGCCTAGCCAGTCTCCAGATCTCAACCCCATAGAAAACCTTTGGAGGGAGTTGAAAGTCCATGTTGCCCAGCGACAGCCCCAAAACATCACTGCTCTAGAGGAGATCTGCATGGAGGAATGGGCCAACATACCAGCAACAGTGTGTGCCAACCTTGTGAAGACGTACAGGAAACGTTTGACCTCTGTCATTGCCAACAAAGGATATATAACAAAGTATTGAGATGAACTTTTGATATTGACCAAATCCTTATTTTCCACCATAATTTGCAAATAAATTATTTCCAAATCAGCCAATGTGATTGTCTGGATTTTTTTTTCTCATTTTGTCTCTCATAGTTAAGTTCTACCTATGATGCCAATTACAGGCCTCTCTCATCTTTTTAAGTGGGAGAACTTGCACAATTGGTGGCTGACTAAATACTTTTTTGCCCCACTGTACATAGTTACATTGGTCCCAAAGCTGGAGTAGTGGTGTAATTTCCAGCTTCCAGGGGCATCAGTCAGGTTGGGCATATACATAGTTAAATTGATAGAAAGCTGGACCAATGTAACTGTGTATCATACAGCTATGCCTGGAGTTATTCTTCCACAACAGATTTTTCTGGATTATCAAGATTCCCATGCTCTTTTCCAGTTTCTGTAGTTCTACCAAAAAAGCTCTGTAAGAAGATATACATCATTTTTTAAGCAACCTAAATAAAAAAAATTGTTAAAATGTCATGAACTTGCCTTAAGGCAGCTGCAGGAAAAAACATTCAGCAATTCGAATAAATACATAAATCACCCTAATGTAGAGATAGGACTACAGAAAAAGAGCCAAGACGGAACATCTCACATCTATCCAGATATCACCTTGTGCAGATGTAACCTTCATACTCACCATCTCTTCATCTTCAGCCAGAACCAAGTCATAATCACTCAGGGCCACGCAGAAAATGATTGCTGTAACTCCCTCAAAGCAATGAATCCACTTTTTCCTTTCAGATCTTTGACCGCCAACATCAAACATCCTGAGAGAGAAGTGAGAAGATAAATGATCAGGAAAACAGTTTCAACGTGTTAGAGACTGAACTAGTTTCCAAGCTCTAAACCTAAATAGTTTCCACTAAAGTACCAGCCATTTACTATCATCTAAATTTTGATCAGCTTCTTTCTAAGTTTCAAATAAGATATACTAATTTTAAAACGGACATGTCAACATCAAATTGAGACTATTTATATGATCTTTGTCATTTTTCTTTTTTTCTGTAATCGATTAGCTCTCTTATTTGTGTTAACGGTAGCCAAAGACACATTCAAAAGCATCCGGAGCACTAAAATAAATAGCATTAGAAACAGATGCAGCTAATGTCAAGTTAGAAAATCTTAATGGTTTCCTATGTAAAAATATGGAAGAACAGCTCTTGGTGCCATCTGTAGCCAGAGACCCCATTTCTTTCTTCCACTGCACAAATGGGAGTCTGATCATTGTTCTGGGCAATTTGGACTGCACTCCAGAAATGTGTGTGAGAAGAACACAGGCCACATCCAGTTAAGTGGCATTTAAATGTATGAAATCATGCAGGTATATTTAATGATGACAGGTCCATATGTAACAGAAACACAAAAATATACTAGATATGGCAGATATAACTAAGGGAGCAGTACAGGAAAAATAAAGATTTAAATGTCTAAGGCAAAGCACAAGTTGCAAAGGGAAAAGAAAATCGTACTTTCAAAATGCAGAATGTTAGGCTAAGGAAGAAAAACCAAGAGTGACTACATCACAAGAACAGTATATAACTTATTACACAGAACGTTAATGAAAAACATTAAAAAAGAAAATGTAAGCCACAAGTGAACAAAACAGTACTATAAGAAGGTATGTGCAAGTGTTGTGTAATTTCTGATGGCATGGTGATCTTATAATAACCACATAACAGATTTCTACAAACCATTACTATCCATACTACTTCAGTACATAACTATCTAGATAGCATACTCTACTGTGAGGCCAGCTTGTGATACTAGCTGGCAGAATAAGCTGCAAGAACAAAAGGGGTTTTGCGATGAGGTTGTCTGTCCTTGTCCTGGCTCTGAACGTTCTGTGCTGCAATGGTTACAAGCTTTCAGGTAAAACAGCAGTACAGTTGGTCTGTTGGTCCCCTCTTCCTCCTACAAACGAGAAAAGTTCTTTTATTGACTGCACTGCTAGTAACATCTGTGAATAAAGCCCGATTCAGACAGGGTGGATTCCATCCCAATCAGCATGGAAGCTGCTCACAGATCCCTGCTGATCGGAGCAGAGCGGGAGGATGACACACTTGCCTGTCCTTAGGGGTGAATAGACCATCCATTCAGGTCTGTCTGAAAAACTGACAGGCAAACCTGATCAGACCCGCAGTGTGAAAAAGGCCTGAGAGTCTGATCAAAGGATTATTTTCTCCCTTCATAGATCATGTTACAAGCAGTGTAATCAATGAAAGAACTTCTCAATGTTATGCACAAAATTCCACATGGTGAGATCACCACTGTGCTTCTAACATTACAGTTATTGTAAACATATTTGAAAAAAAACAAAACAAAAAAAACACACACAGGTCATACTTACCTGCAATGGTTTTGCATTAAGCAGCCTTGATCCTCTTCTTCTCGACTCCCTTGCCAGCATTCTTGGCTCCTCCCCCCACCCACCCACAGAGTCCTCCCATAGCAAGGCGTCTAACTATGGGGGCACACATGTGGGCTTGAATCCAAGCCGTACTGTGTGAGTCCATAGACACAACCAATGCTGCTTGCCCCGCCCCCACTCTCTCCTTACAGCAGTAGGAGGAAATGGCTCTTGTTGCTGCCTCCATGTCCAGTGAGGAGAGAGCTGCTGCTCTCAGGCACAGCACTGGATCAAGATTGGGCTCAGATAAATATTTAGGGGGGCTGCACAGTATTTTTTACCCTAATGCAGAGAATGCATTGAAGTGGTTGTAAACCTCTGACATGAAATATGAACAAAGCATATCCCTCTAAAGTGTATACTTGTCTTAATACAGAGCACAAAGTGTCATTTCTGTCTGCTGCCTCATTCATCTGTTATCTGCATGAGCCACTTCTGACAAGTTTTCCTGACCCCAAGAGACACTCACAAAAATGCCCACAAATAGGGATTCAGCCTGGGTTAAAGCCCAGCAAAGATTTACAAGGGACCAAGTGGGATGTGCACTAGGTCCTCCTAGGAGGGGGTAAAGGTTTGGGTTGGATTAGTTTATAACAAGCATTTTCATCTCCTGAAATAGTGGAAAAAGCCAGAAAGAAGTGAACAGGCATCACTCCAAACTGTTGTTTTCCTCTCTTCAGTCGCCAGCAGTTAGAACAAAGGCACAATTATTACTGGTGTTTGTGGTTATTTAAAGGAAATGTCTGAGGCAAATACATTCCCTGCCATTGCTGTCTTCTAAAAATACTAGTTGTCTCTGTATTAATACTTTTTGAGCCACTAATCCAGAACAAACGAATATTAGAAATTCAGAGCTACTGCTCTGAAAACGTCCACAAAATTTGAGACACATAGTACTTAAGCCACTGGATCACCGTAACAGTCAGGCAACTAGAATCTTCAGAGGAAGCGACCAGCAATGGCACACTGTGTATTCTCGGATTACAGGTTACCTTTAAAGTGAATCTGTGGTAATTCCCTTGGATTCCGTCTCTAAACAGTGTACATGCTGGAGAGGGGCGATCATTTAAAACAAATCAGTTTCTTTACCCTCAATGGCCAAAACACAAGTAAATAGCAAAAACCGTAAAGAAACAGTTTTGCAACAATGGATCATCAGCAGAGCGAACAAATGTTCAAAGGCATTTTACTGTGACCCTAAAAATATTTATTGGATTTTTTTAGTATATATTTCTTTGCTTATTAGTAAAAAAGAAATTGCGCAAAAGCTCCATTAAAGTCTTAGACTGAATGCAATGACTATGACGCCATTTGTTAATACAGTTTACGGAACACACAGTTATATGACCACTAGGAAAAACCACAACTATTCCAGAATGCATTCAGTGGTTTTTCACTACCTCTTCATTAAAATAAAAGCAGCACTAAAACAGATGCTGGAAATAAATCAGCTTGAGTTTTACTATAGTGTAAATACTGAACTATACAGGACAACAGCTTTCAAAAAGACAACTCCTGTAAAACTCTGAGCCTTTGCGATTGCTAGAAAAAGCCCTTGCTCTCTGGCTCAAAGTGGAACTTTAGTCAGAAAATTACTGCTAGAGCACTGCAGACTTGCCCCTTTAGCAGGTCTAGCTATGTAAAACATGAAAAATAAGTACCTTTACTGTTAAAATCCAGTGTCTCACCCTGCTTTGCACATGCTCAGTTGTTCTCTATTTTTTGACACTTTGCCTAAATCAGAGCCACTATGGGCTGATCTGCTGACAGCCTAAAGATTTACTGCTGCTCAGGGGCTCTGGGCTTCAGCAAAATGGCAGCCTCCAGCAAAAAGACACAGGAACAATGCAGTTTACAGCACGCAATGATTTTGGGAGCATAATTATTAATGTGGAATGTAAGTTCCTTGCTGAAGAACATTATTTATCAAAATGTTAAGGGTAAAATTCTGCTTTCAAGGGGTTTTCTGCACATATAAACCATTACGGTCTTGCATAGACGTAAAAATACATGCAACGTCAGTATGTCACTTATAGTACAGGTCTAGATTTTCAAAACACAGAATCGGTTTTACATTTACTTCCCCAATGAAATGCCTCTTGCACACAACTCCTAGCATGCTGTTCTCCAGTTAACGTGTTTTTCTTACCATGTCATCTACAGAATCTACATTGTAGATAGCTCAGCTTGCGTTCCCTATTCCCTATGCAAAAGATAGGTGGCATATCAAAATCTGGATCAGAACTGGGGGCTTGCTAGCAAGGTACTTGGTAAGAAGACTGCCTAGGAAGAACCTTTTTTAAAGTGGTTCTAAAGGCTGAAGGTTTTTTACATTCTATGCATGACTGTAAAAACCTTCAGTGTGCAGCAGCCCCCCCTACCCCCAATACTTACCTTAGCCCGATCTTGGTTAAGCGATGTGTAAGGGAGCCCAGACTCTTTCCCTCCGCATAGGCTGAGGCTCCCGCTGCTGTCAATCACAGCCAGTGAGGAGGGAGGACTTACTGTGGGGGGCACTGCTCAGGAGGGAGGAGCCAGAAATGCCGGTGGGGGACCCAAGAAAAGGAGGATTGGTGCTGCTTTGTGCAAAACTACTGCACAGGTGAGCAGGTGGGTATAACATGTTTGTTATTTAAAACAAATAAATAAAAAAAAGTGTTTAGTATCACTTTAAATCCAGCAATGCTAGAGGAATTTGGACGCAATACAGGGGAGGGTCTACTGATATACTGATCAGAAAAATCACACACAAAGAATTGTTTAAAATAAATCCAATCTAGGAGCCAGCTGGCACTTAAATTACTTAAAGCACAGCACATTTAAGCCCCTTGTAAATGGGGGCATCTGGTTGCTATGCGTCCCTCCCAATATTTTAGTGTACCTGGGAAGGAGAGATGCAACATTCCATTTCTGCTGCCTGCAGCCTACCAAAGTCTATGGCAGCCAATGACTGGACAGGGATGAATGCTGTACCAAGTGTTTAAGGCCCTATGTGTTCAAAGACCAATGCCCAGAATGTATTCATCACTGAAAGCTTTGATAAGAGCGGGCAGGATGATGGACCTGTGCTTCCTGAGCACACTAAAACACAGGAAGTAATGCACAGCAGTCAGATGTGCAGGGGGGCTTTGGGTAAAATATACAATGATATATGGCAAGGAACAAAACACACACACAATCTCACAGAAGTGAGTACACCCCTCACATTTTTGTAAATACTTTATTATATCTTTTCATGTGACAACACTGAAGAAATGACACTTTGCTACAATGTAAAGTAGTGAGTGTTCAGCTTGTATATCAGTAAATGAATTTGCTGTCCCCTCAAAATAACTCAACACACAGCCATTAATGTCTAAACTGCTGGCAACAAAAGTGAGCACACCCCTAAGTGAAAATGTCCAAATTGGGCCCAAAGTGTCAATATTTTGTGTGGCCACCATTATTTTCCAGCACTGCCTTAACCCTCTAGGGCAGTGGTTCTCAACCTTCCTAATGCCGTGACCCTTTAATACAGTTCCTCATGTTGTGGTGACCCCCAACCATAAAATTATTTACCCAGTAATTATAATTCATGAGTGTCGTTTTACCTCCAATACTGCTGCTTTCAACACAGTAGCTGCTTTTAACAGAGTAGCTGCTTTCAACACAGCAGCTGCTTTCTACACAGTAGCTGCTCTTTACATATCGGAAATATGTGTTTTCTGATGGTCTTAGGGGACCCCTGTGAAAGGGTCGTTCGACCCCCAAAGGGGTCGCGACCCACAGGTTGAGAACCACTGCTCTAGGGCATGGAGTTCACCAGAGCTTCACAGGTTGCCACTGGAGAACTCTTCCACTCCTCCATGACGACATCACGGAGCTGGTGGATGTTAGAGACCTTGCGCTCCTCCACCTTCCGTCTGAGGATGCCCCACAGATGGTCAATAGGGTTTAGGTCTGGAGACGTGCTTGGCCAGTCCATCACCTTTACCCTCAGCTTCTTTAGCAAGGCAGTGGTCGTCTTGGAGGTTTGGGGTCGTTATGTTGGAATACTACCCTGCGACCCAGTCTCTGAAGGGAGGGGATCATGCTCTGCTTCAGTATGTCACAGTACATGTTGGCATTCATGGTTCCCTCAATGAACTGTAGCTCCCCAGTGCTGGTAGCACTCCTGCAGCCCCAGATCATGACACTCCCACCACCATGCTTGACTGTAGGCAAGACACACTTGTCTTTGTACTCCTCACCTGGTTGCCCGCCACACACATGCTTGACACCATCTGAACCAAAAAAGTTTCTTTGGTCTCATCAGATGGCAGGACATGGTTCCAGTAATCCATGTCCTTAGTCTGCTTGTCTTCAGCAAACTGTTTCTTTCTTGTGCATCTTCTTTAGAAGAGGCTTCCTTCTGGAATGACAGCCATGCAGACCAATTTGATGCAGTGAGTGTGCGGCGTATGGTCTGAGCACTGACAGGCTGACTCCCACCCCTTCAACCTCTGCAGCAATGCTGGCAGCACTCATACATCTATTTCTAAAAGACAACCTCTGGATATGACACTTAGCCAGTACACTCAACTCCTTTGGTCGACCATGGCGAGGACTGTTCTGAGTGGAACCTGTCCTGTTAAAACCGCTGTATGGTCTTGGCCACCGTGCTGCAGCTCAGTTTCAGGTTCTTGGCAATCTTCTTATAGCCTAGGCCATCTTTATGTAGAGCAACAATTCTTTTTTTCAGATCCTCAGAGTTCTTTGCCATGAGATGCCATGTTGAACTTCCAGTGACCAGTACAGGATGAGAGAGTCAGAGTGAGAACACCAAATTTAACACACCTGCTCCCCATTCACACCTGAGACCTTGTAATACTAATGAGTCACATGACACCGGGGATGAAAAATGGCTAATTGGGCCCAATTTGGACATTATCACTTAGGGGGGTACTCACTTTTGTTGCCAGCGGTTTCAACATTAATGGCTGTGTGTTGAGTTATTTTGAGGGGACAGCAAATTCATACTGATATACAAGCTGTACACTCACTACGTTACATTGTAGCAAAGTGTCATTTCTTCAGTGTTGTCACATGAAAAGATATAATAAAATATTTACAAAAATGTGAGGGGTGTACTCACGTCTGTGAGATACTGTATAAAAAAATACTATAAAATAGACTTACTTGAAATGAAGGTCTTTGAATGTGAAATGCGTTTCCACTATACCGGTAGTTTTTACTCTAGTTCTGAGAACATCCTGCTGAGTGGGTATGTAGCTGTTCTGTGCTATTCTGTCCAAATCATTGAGGTAACTGTAAATAAAGAATGAAGAGAAGGTTGAGTCATATCAGACCCACAGAGTAATATGGAGAGGCTTTGCTGCATTATCAGAAATCTTATACATACACACTTTACAAACAGACAGTAGAACAGTGGGGTGAGAAGGGGGTTCATTAGCAAATCTGCAAATCTTTACCCAGCTAGAATATCCTAAGTACCCCACAGAGAACAGTTGTCAATCTGGTTATTTTAAGTCCAAACCGAGCAACTATCACAAGTATATGTTGGCAAGAAGACACCTATCAGTCATTGGCTAAATGGTTAGCATTTCCTCCTGGCAGTACTAGGGTCGCTGGTTCGAATCCAAACCATGGCACCACCTGCATGGAGTTTTCATGTTCTCTCTGTGCCCGTGTGGGTTTCCTCCGGGTACACCGGTTTCCTCCCACCCTCCAAAGACATGCTGGTAGGTTAAATGGATCCTGTCTAAATTGGCCCTAGTATGTGTATGTATGAATGTGAGTTAGGGACCTTAGATTGTACGCCTCTTGAGGGTTAGGGACTGATGTGAATGTACAATATATATGTAAATCGCTGTGTAAATTGATGGCACTATACAAGTACCTGTAATAAATAATTATTTTTTAGGGAAGGGACAATAATCAGGAATCAATCCTTCAAGACATATGAACCCGGCCATGTCTAAGAGCCTGTTCACACTATGTGCAGTTACCTGCGTTTCTCCTCATAGATAAATGAAGATAGCTGCAATGACTCATAGAAAACAATGTGTCCTATGTGTCATGTTAACACCAGAATGAAGTGTTTCTTTGAATTCCAGAGAGGTGCGATATTATGCAAAGTGTTTGCCAACTGTGTGGGCCTTTTTCTTGTGCCTCCCCTCTGCATGAATATAAACTTTCTGGGTCAACAGTGCTGATTTATTAACACTCTGCAGATTTGATTTCTTTAACCACTTCCAGTCCGGACACTTTTACCCCTTTCCTGTCCAGGCCAGCTTTCAGTGCTATCACACTTTGAATGACAATTACGTGGTCATGCAACACTGTACCCATATGAATTTGTTAGCATTTTTTGGAGACAGATAAAGCTTTATTTTGGCGGTATTTATTCACCACTGGGATTTTAATTTTTTTTGCTATGTAAATGAAAAAGTCCAAAAATTTTGAAAAAAAAAGTTTTTCTTATAAAATTTTGCAAATAAATAATATTTCATCATAAATCTTGGCCAAAATGTATTCCGTTATCTTTTTAGTATAAAAAAATAAATAAAAAATAACCCAAATTAGTTTATAACCAAAAACTATAATTTTTAAACTTTTTTTTTTTTTAATATTATTATTTATGTATTTTCTTTTTTAACATCCTATCACCCTAGCAGTACAGTGTCCTACTTGTGGGGGGTGAAGATTTTTTTTTTTTTTTTTTTTTTTTAACACTGATTTGCTTTTACACCCATAAAGGCTATAAAAGCAATCATTTCTCCTTCTCTCTAGCTGCATTCTAGCAGCCATTGAGAACTACTGTGTGAGTTGTATATTGGTCACGGCTTGTCACATGGTACAAGGCTGTTGTGAATAGCCTTGTACCATGTGACCTCTGTGATCATTCACAGATTTCACATGTAGTAAGCAATGATGTCACAAGTGACATATTGCTTACTATTGGCTAATCAGTGATCACACAGAGGTCCCGTCCGACAATCGGTGTTCCACTGTTCCACACAGTGGGCACCGGATCGTGGTGCTGCGCGCTCCCAGGGAGGGGAGGCCATTTATAAACGGCCACCCGACCCTGCAGTGCCAATGTCTGGCCGTTTATATACATGGGCCGGACGGGAAGTGGTTAAGCCAACATGTCCAAACACCCTCCATGGTTTATAGCAGTGTTTTTCAAACATTTTTCAGTCAAAGCATAGCATACAAACCCAGGGCACAGCATTCTGAGGGCTTGTTCAGAGCAAGAAGTGCATAAGTGCTATTTTTGCGCATTCCTGTGTAGTGGATTGTGATAGACAGTCCACATTTTATTAGATGATCAGTAAAATGACAATTTTATAGTCTTGCTACTGTCTGTATCTTGCTCTTTAAATTCCTTACTCTCTTAAGTAAACAATCAGATATAGGTCGACAGAACAATGATGATAATTAAGATGGTGCCTTCATCCGGAGTCTCACCCTTGGTGACTCATTAGGAGAAAAGTATCTTTTAATGTAAACAACCCCCATAAAAAGGAATGAGTCTTTTTGGGGAAAATGATTGGAAGATATCAACACGGATGGACGAACACGCAGAAACCCAGTGGACTTTTCACCCAATCAATGTATATGCTTTGCCTGCATCATATGCCCTATAAATGATACTGTTAGTTCCTCAATAAAACAGAATTTTAGGAAGTTGGCAAACTGCGAAGTGTCAGTGTCTTACTTCCACGTGCACGTATTCTCATATTAATTTGGCTCACTGGTAGATCACGGTAAATGGTCTGTAAGTGACCGAGTCCAAGACACCTGCATGTTGCAGGTTTTTTTTTTTTTTTTTAATGGGCTTCTCAATCCTTGTGAAACACACAAAAAAAGGTACTGGTATGAGTTTTTAAAATTGTGCAGCACCAAAGCACATGCATTTTAGCAGGTACCAACAAACGCATATTTGCTAGATACATGGGGGTGCCATTGTATTTTTAGGAGGAGCCACACCACGCCGTGACGTCACGCCGCCGGAGCATCGTGGAGCTCCGGCGGCCATTATAACATACCAGCTGGTCAGTCCTCCTACAGACAACTGTCTGCAACGTTTTTTACACTTTTAATGTGATGTACCTCTTTACTCAATAAAATTTAACCTACTACACTATGGGAGTATCCTTGTTGTCCCCTGGGGGAGTACTCTAACCCACAGGTCCAACGTTGAGACGGATCACCACCTGCCACCCAGCTCATTGGGAGTGATAGCACCCACCAGGACCACACAAGCATTTCTAAGTGAGAAGGACAACTCATCTGGGTTCCAACAGAAGGAAGACCCCCCTACTACCTAAGATCAGGATTTATACATACAAGGCGCATTTAATATGCGCGTCCGGTGAGTGCGCATTTCATTTCCACCTCCACCCGGACAACGAAGTCACCTTTGATTATTCTATTTTTCTCATCCTGAATTATTTATATTTATGGGACTGCTCCTTATATTTATTCAATTTGGTTTATGATACTGGATTTTTATCTATTTAATTTATTGGCTACGAGCGCTGCACTTGCTATATACATTGTATTTTTACGTTGAGTAAAATTCAATAAAACTTGCCAGTTTAAAAAAAAAAAAATGAATGGCACCCACCTGCGTCTGAAAAAGACAGCACATTTTTGGAAAGAGCAGGAAAAACAATTTTGCATGTTACCGCACTGCACCCACTAAAAGGCACAGTTAAGTGGTCTGTAGGGTGTAAATCTGCTTCCCCTCTGCCAGCACAAATTCTGTTTCTCCTTCCTCCCTCCCCCCCATCACAAAACCCCTCATCCCACCACATCCCTTAATCACTACAGGAGTAGCGATAGTGGCAAAGAGGTGGAGAGATCCAAAGAAGGTGTGAGCTGTGTTAACAGCCCCCCTCCCCACATACACACCCCCCGGCTTCCTTCAGCTCCACTCCCACCTGATTGCATACCGAAGATAACACAGAACATGCCCAGATCGGACTTCCAGGTTTGATTATCTCTCTCTACCCCCAAATTTTTGCTTCCGGGACAGGAGCAGTGTGGGGAGGATAAGGGGACATAATCAAGCCCTGTACAGTCTGATCAGCGAGCGATCTTGTGATAACAGGAGGGAGAAAGCACAGCCTGCACCTTTTCCCGGGTCTCTTCCCTCCTCCCTGCTGCTATCTGTACTCCTGTCGGCAACCCAGGAAGCTGTACGCGCAGCACAATCTGCTCTTAGCAACTTATGACACCAGTTGGTAGGACGCAAGCGAGCGGCACCCCGGTTGAAAAACACTGGTCTATAGACAGCTCGGTGGTCTTCTCACATTCATGAGTATACAGAATAATCAGCACCCAGCAGGGCAATAAGGAACATTATAACATAGCTAATCTAAACCTGACTGCCTTAAGAGCCAGGTGCCGAGAGGTAGTGCAGGTAAGATAAATATATGGGGATTGGGAAATGCCCTTTCAGTGTTGTTCTGCATGCACAGGATAACAGTCTCGCTTGAAGGCACAGGTGTAAACCGCAGTAATGCAATATTGTAGTTTTATACAAGAATGAACTGACATCCTAACAAACAAGCATAGTCACAAGGAGGTCAGCAAGAGCAGTCACCGTTTTCTCTTCTGATAGGTGTTCCAGAAATCCAGCACAGAAGAGCAGAATACTGCTGGCTTATAAAATTTAAATATCTTGCGTAGTCACTGTGATTAATAAAACATTAATAGGGATTTTTAATCCATTTGAAGCTTGCCATACAAGGTTAGATTTTTGTTCAAATGTTTGTAGATAGTTTGTCACATTCTCTCTTTCCGCTGAGCCAACATTCAAAAGCCCTTCAATTTCATCCAGCCCTGCTATTTGAATGAAATCCCAGACATATTAAACAAGTTTCATTACAATATGTACGTTTTTTTTCATACGTTTCCAGAACGAAACCACAGTCACAAGTAGAATTTCACTAATTTGAGAAAAGTTTTCCATCTTGCTCCCTCAAATTACAGTAAACAATGAGTGCCAATTTGACCACTGTGCAGGAGCGGCTGCACCTCCCTGAACTCAGACCGTGTGTTTAGAGCCAGGCAGCTGATTCAGAATGACTTTTGACATGTAGCTGTGTCCGTGGAGCCGCTGCGTCTGCATTCTCTTCTGTAGGTTGCCTGCACGCAGTACAGGTGATCGCTCCTGTCTGAATGAGGCCTTAGCAATCATTCAATATAAGAAATCATAAGATCATAAGGAATGTAAACTAGCAATGCTTCTTGATTACGATGTACAATGTTAGAACAAAACAACCACTAATAATAATGGGAGTATGCATCTCATAAATGAATCTAAACAAAAATACAATTATGTTTATTACTTCTGCAAGACTAGGTTAGTTTTTCTGAAAATCCTTAAAAAGAATAAAAAAAAAAAAACAAAAAAAAAAAAAAAAACAACACACACAGGAAAAAGGAGACTTGTGTAGATTTTCTTGACTGGACGTTACGGGTATGTAAAGACCATATTAAATGTAATTCCGGTAAACCTTCTATTCTTGTGTAGTTGAAAGACACAAATCTAACCCTGAATAATAAATATTTTAATAAATGTCAAGATTAATTCCAAGAACACGAAGACATAACAAGGGTTGCTCCGGCTTCCTTTCAAAGATGGTCCTTATACATTGTTTAAATTCTTCTCTGCGTATTTTTAGAAGCAGTAAATAGTGCATCATGCTTCAGTCATAGGAATAATTATGTTACAGAAATAAAACAGTGGGTGGACAGAGCTCAGCAGTTATTTAAAACTGCCTCTCTCTTCGGTTTTGTTTTTTTCCTCCATCATTTCGGTGGACTCCTAGAAGATTACACAGAGCTGGTATGTCAAGTTCAGAGCTAAGTGGTTTCTCTAATAAAAACACAGATGATGCCAGCTCATCTGATCTATAAATATACTGACAGATACATTAGTCATTATCCAGACAAAAATATACAGCAGTACCAAAGGACCAATAACCTGATAAAAATAAAAGTATAATTCAACATAAACATCCTCCTAGATTGTAAGCTCCAAGGAGCAGGGCCCTCCTTTCCCTCTTGTATTGAACTGTATTGTTGCTGTATTGTCTCCTGTTATATTGTAAAGCGCTGAGCAAACTGTTGGCGCTATATAAATTCTGTATAATAATAATAATAAGAAGAAAATATGATTTCTATCATTTATCATATCTATCATAATATACTGGATTCATACGAAAACAAGAAAATAACTATGGTGCAAAAATGGAGTATAAAATATATAATGCATAAAACAGAGGAATCTTAAAAGGCTAAGTTCACCTTTAAAAAAACAAAATACAATAAATAAATGCACTTTTTTTTTTTAGGAGCCTGTAAAGCATTGCACCTGCGATCAGCAGATGTCCGGCTCCTACAGACTGTGTAGGTGTCTGCACGTACCTTGTACAGGCAGGCAGTTATTAGATCGATGAAATACCAGAGCACTCATCAACGCCTATCAGCACCCCAGTAGTTCATTGAGAACTACAGTCCGTCACAACGGATGATGGTATTTGTAGGCATTCATTCACAGAGCTCTGTGAATGAATGATGCGGCCGCCTAGGTGGAGCCCTGTATGGCCACAGTCTTTTTGAATTGTGACAGTGGGTGCAGGGTGCTCAGGAGGAAAGGAGGCAGATGCTGACCATGTTACACCCTAAAAAAGGGTGTATTATGTAACATTCACAAAGGTGAACTTATCCTTTAAATGTGGGAGAAAGGTCCAAATACTATAAAAAGTCGTTTTTTTGGAACAATGACTGTACAGCCACATGGTAATCTCTTAACACAAGTCTTAAGAGAACTCTAATGAACATACAATAAATAAGAGCGAAAAGGTGCCTCCATCTAAATGCAGCGGTTTATTAATGGAATAAAATGTACACAAATATACAGTATATGCACTCAATGAATTAGTAGGGTAATAGGCATGTAATCAATATGTCCATCGTCCGTACAGCAGAGTTTGGCAAGGAAGCAGCCAGAAGTTGCAGAGTTCACCAGGGAAGCGCCAGGAAGCTGCTGGATGACAGGCGGATATGGTGCAAACCACACTGGAACACAAGCTGTGCAATGTGATGGCTGGGACT